ATATATGTATATATATATATATATATATTTATATATTTATATTTTTTTTTTATTTTATTTAATTTTTAGGTAAAAGTTATTTAAAATTTAAGATATTGAACTAAATATAAATAATTAAATTTAAAATTTAAGTGAAAGAATAAAATAAAATCAAGTTGAAATATTACAAACTGTAAATTAAAATAATAAAGATTAATTGGAAACATATTAAGTTTTTGATAAAGAGATATAAAATAAATTATAGTAAAACTTAGAAGCCATTAATTAAGATAATTAAAATTTAGAAATTAAAATAAATTAAATAGAATAAAATATTGAAAAATAAAATTAAGTTAAATAATATTTATTTTTATTATATTTTAAAATTAAATATTATAGATGAAGACATTATAAAATTTGGAAAATGATAATAAAATTTTAAAAAATAATTAAGAAAATTTATATAAATCTGAGTTTATTGATAAAATTATATAGGATAATTAAAATAATTATTAAAAAATATAAGAATTAGAGAATAAATTTGAAAATTTACATAATATTTAAATAATATTAGAAATACAATAATAATTAAAATAAGTTTAAAATTATATACAAGAAGCATAATAAAAAGAGAAATGATATTTTTTTATTGATTTATATATAATTTTTAAAATATATTATATTAAAATTATATTCATAATGTATAAGAATTGGTAAATATTTATTCGTTCTATTAATTATATACTAAATTTAAAAAAAAAATTGGCCTTTTTAATTTTTTATAATTTGATAAATATAGAATATATTCTTACTTTGCTCTTTAAGAAAATGATTGTTTTATTAACTTTTAAAATTAAATGATTTTATTATATTGTATAAAATAAAAATGTTTATATTTTTTAAAATTAATCATTAAAAAGGTTTATATTTTAATTAAACTATTTTTCTTCTTTTTTAAAAACTAAAGCATATTTGCTAATATTATATTAATTTTTTTTCGATAGAAATATTTTTATATTTATATTTAAAATATATATAAATAATATAATACTTATTAAATCAAATATTTAAATTATTCCATATTTGTAAAAATAAAAATTAAATTATTAAATTTCAATATATATTTTATATTAATTTATCTTACTTTTTTTAATCAAATGTATATAAAATTAAATAGTTAATAAAATTTGAAAAATGGTATAAATATTTGTATGATAATTACTATAAACTTTTTTTTCTTTCACTATGAATTATATATCTTAACTTAATAATTAGTTATTATTAATTAAAATTTTTAGAACTATAGATTTAGAATTTATAATTTATAAAAATTAAATAAATAATTTTTAATAAATAATAATTGTACACTATAATTAATTTAAAATATAAATAAAATATATTAATAGAATTATAATTATTTGTTTGATATATTATTAAAAAATAAATTAAAATTTCGATTTAAATTAATTATATTGATATTAAAATAAATATTAAAAATTTAAAATAGATAACATTTTAATATATATAATTAAATTAATTTAATTTTAAATTTTTTTATTTTAAAATAATTTACAACTTTATTCTAGCATTTTTTTCTTATTTTAATTTGTGGATAATATTAATATATTATACATCATTTTTTTCGCTTAAAATTATTTATTTTAAAGTAATATATATATATTATTTTAATTAAGTTTTATATAATTAGTATAAGTAAATTTAATAGTAAACTGATTATATATTTAGAAAATTAATATTATATAATTAAAAATATATTTAATATTTTTTTTATTGATATTTCAATTATTTAAATAATTTATTTTAAAAGAATAAATTAATATCCATATATATATATAATTAATTATAATCTATATTTAAATTAATTATTTAATTTAATTTTTTTAAAACTATTTTGTTTGTTATTATTTAAATTACACAATCTAACAGAAAAAAATAATAAAAAAAGATAAAAAAATAGATAATTCTCTTTTTTTTTATATTTTTTATTGATTAACAAAAAAATACTTTTAAAAATAAAAACAAACAATATTATTTTAATATAAACCAAAAATTAATTTTCTTTACTTAATTGTTATAATAAGTTAATTAGTTAAATTTAATCAAGAAATTTCTTTTTAAATATATTCACAAAATTATGAAATATTATATTTTAAATTACTATCAAGGGTTTTATCACTATCTTATTTAAAACTTGATTAAAGATTTCTTCTTTTAATTATTGGAGATTGACAAATTTGGAGAGAATTTTATCTTATAATTTTTTAATCACTATTAAGTTAATTTTGTAATTAATCATATGTATCTTTTCGCTTTTTACTATAAAAATCATCATGCTTTTATGGTAAAGTAATGAATATATTTTTTGAATCAAGCCATTCATGTATTTTGATTTCCAAATCATTAGTAGAGTCAATTAATAATGTGTCAAAATCAAATATATTTTGTTAATTATTATCTGAAAATGCTTAATATTTTGCAATACGATTTTCAAAATTAATTAATTTTTTTGGCTGAATAGAATTTAATTTTTTTAATGAAGTTTTTAATTAATCCATTTTTTTTTTTTTTATCTTTTTTTGAAAAAAATATAAGAAATTTTAAATAAGTAATTGTTTTTTTAGCTATTTGCCATAAAACTTAAAATATATATAAGAAATAATAAAATTATGGATAAAATATATTTTATATAAATAATATTAAATAAAATTTGATTGATAGTTATAAATTAGTCTTTATTATTAATAATTTCTATCTTTAAAAAAATTAATTTGTGAATATTAAAATACATATATATATATAATATGCATATATTAAAATAATCTTAAATATTTATATATAATTAACTTAATATTATTAAATGGAGTAATCCATTAAAAATTAAATTCCAACAATATTTATTAGTCATGGTTATATACCTTTATATTTTGAGTAACAAGAAAGTCTTAATTTTATAAAGTAATTAAAAATACTAGGTCTTTATATTTAAAATAAAAAAGAAATAAATACTTTAATAATTTTATCATCTAGATATCTTTAAGAAAATATGGTTTCTATAAAAGATAGTACATAGCTTGTAATAAAACATGATCATCCATTCGAAAAATATTACTAATATTAATAATAATTTATAGGAAATCCTGAATTAGCCTAAAAAGTATAAAAATGTCTTTAAATCAAAGGAATTGAATGTGAATTTGATAATCAGAATTAATTAGATTCTGCAATATGGGGTCCTTTAAAAGCTATGTTTGAATCTAAAATGGATTTGAAAATTTTAAATATTTCTATAAACTAATAATACAATTGCTATTAATAAATTTTCTTTGGAAAAACATTATCTTAATTTTAACAATAAGGATGCTTGATTTTGTGTATAGGAGGAATTACTTAAGATTTGTAAATATTTTACGATTGTTTAAAAGGTTGCAAATAAATTTAAGAGCCTTCAATATATATGTAATTTGAAAATTGGTGTAGGAAAGTGATTGAAAAATATAATGGAAAAGATAGGGTGAATAAAATTTAAAATTACGAATAACATCCGCATTATTAATAAATGCATCCTACTGATGAACATTTTATCCCTTTACTTATTGCTATTGGAGCAGCCGAAAACAGACAAGGGAAGAATTTTTATTAAGAAATGTATAAAAAATGTTTGAGTTTAAGTTGCTTTATTTTTGAATGATTATAAAATAGAAAAAATAATTTTATAATTTTTAATTATATTTTTTTTTTTATATATTATAAATTTATATAAATAATGAAAAAACAACAACAAAAATTATTCTGTAATCTTTGTTTTATATTTTTGGTATTATTAAAAATAATGGTAAATTAAATAATTTAAAAAATATATATATTAATATTTGTAATTTATAATTTTTTTTTTTATAAAGAAGAATAATATAATTTTTAAAAATGAAAAAAACTATAAGTCAACAAATTATAACAAATTGTAAAGATTAAACGTTCTATAGTGAGATTTTAATGAAATTATAAAATTTAAATTTAGAATTAAAAATTTAAAAAGATAAAGTTTAAATATAAGATTAGATATTTTCTGAGCTTTAAAATTAAAAATAATAAGTTTTAATTGAAAAGTAAGTACTTTAACAAAGCTTGAGTTCAAAATAATTATAAATACAAGAATTTAAAGTAAATAAAAAACTAGTAATAAAAATAAAAATATAAAATAGGATTAGCTTATGTAAATTTAATAATCAATATGTTTTATGGAAAAGATGTTTAGTGCTTTAACTTAAGATACTTAGTAATAATCTAAGAACTCCTTAATTAATTAAATAAGACTATAAATAAAAAAAATCAAAGAACAATCTCAAATTAAATAATAACTTGAAGATATTAAAGAATAATAATAAAAAGAAAAAGATATTTTAAAAATTTAAAATCCTGAGGTTTCAGAGATTAAAAAGCTAATTAATAATAATAATTAAATACGATAAAAGACTCATTCTTAAAATTTTATTTATGATACAGAACATCAAAACAATATAGAGAAAATTAATAAATAACTTTCATCTTTAATAAGCGAAAGTGATCCCAGTTATAATTAAAATTACAAACTTTTAGAATGGTTAAATGATGGAAAATGCGATATTTGGAAAATAAAAATGGTTTATTATAATAACTATAGAGGAATTCATTCTAAACAAAAAATAAACAAAGACGAAACTATTCTTTTTATTCCACAAAAATACATGATAACATTAGAATTATGTAAATAAAATACCATTTGTAAACAAATAGAGTAAAGAAACATCAAATTATTATCTCCAAAGCATTCAATTTTATCTATATATATTCTTTCCGAAAAAAAAAATCCTAACTCTTTCTGGAAGCCCTACCTAGATATCCTTCCTTGTGAATTTACAACATTCCCTATTTTATACACAGAAGAAGAGATTCAATGGTTAAAAGGGTCTCTTATAATAAACTAAATATACGAAAAAAACAAAGCATAAAATAAGACTATCAAACATTACTAAAAAACTTTCCTATTATTAGTAAATTATTTACTCTTTAAGAATTTACATGGGCAAGGATGATGGCAGCCTCAAGAATTTATGGACTTCATATATAAAATAAAAGAACTGATGCTTTTGTTCCTTTAGCTGATATGTTTAATCATAAAAGGCCGGCATATACTACTTGGGGATATTGTGAAGAATCTGGAGGGGGTTTTCAGCTAAAGGCAAGTGAGGCAATTAGGAGAGGAGATTAGATTTACTATAGCTGTGGAAAAAAATGCAATTCTAAATTTTTAATTAGTTATGGGTTTGTTATTTAAAACAATGAGGCTAATGAAATTCCGTTGAAGATTGAATTCGATAGAAATGATATCAATTTGTTATTAAAAGAATAAATAATGGGTAAAAAAAGTAATGGTTAGATGTTTAAATTACTTATGAATTATGAAGAAAAATCTGTATTAGAGTTTTTTGGGTTTTTAAGATTTGTACTTATTAAAGATACTTATGTGTTGAATAAATTCTAAGAAATTTCTAAGGATAACTTTTTTGATCCAACTAGAACACCTCCTTTTAATGTGGAAAATGAAGCTTTAATGTGGGTCAAAATATAAAAAATTTGTGGAGAAATTATTAACTAATATAGTACTACATATGATGTAATATTTTTATTTTTTTTATTTTATTTATTTTATATAGGAAGATATGAAAATATTAGAAGATTAAAAATTAACTGTTAATTAAAGAAATTGTGTGATTTTAAGAATTGGAGAAAAATAAGTTTTTATTTTTTTTTTAAAAAACTAATTATTAACATATTTATCTTTTTAGATTTTATTAAAATATATAGAAATGGCTAGCTTAATGATATAATTATTAGCTATGAAAAAATCTGAAGTTAAAAAATATATTTTATAAAATATGGAAAAAAGTAAATATTTTAGTTATATAAATGGCATTGTTTTACCTTTACTTTCTAAAAATGTAGAATGTATGGAATAAGAATAAGAATCAGAATGAAATACTATATAAATATAAAACAATATTTAAATTATTTCAATTTAATGATATTTATTTTATTTAATGGTTAATAAAGATTTATAATTAAAAAATATTAAAAAATTATAAAATTAATAAAAATAGTATTAAAATATAATAAAATTATTTAGTTATATGTAATAAGAATCAATTCTAAATTTAATACCAAATGATATGATAAAACCACAAAAAAAATATCGCTATATATCTAAATATCCACCAAATATAGTTCCAACTAGTTCTACTATAGGTTTGAAAGGTTTATCTAAACCATTTGTAAATAATATTTAAAATATATACAATAAAACTTTAATGTAATATAAAGGTAAAAAATATAGGAGGCTATTATAATGATATATTAGATACACATCTTATGCTTTTTTAACACTCTAAATTAAATAAGCCATTAGATAAAGGTAAAAATATATTTATTTAATCTTTATTTTATAAAAGATGTGTAAAGATTATTACTTTCAGAAAATAAATATGATAAAAAAAATCAGAAATCAGATTGGCAATATAATAGAGATAAAAAACCCGCTATACCAAAAAAAGATGATTTTCCTATAATTTTTTAAAAAAATAATCACAATTATATTATGGAAAATATAGTTTTTAATTCATTTTCAGGTTTTTTTTTATTATTTTTATACTTTTACTTTATTTAAATATAAATTTTATTCATATTTTTTTTTTTTAATAGGACCTCCTAAAAAAATATAAAAAATTTAAACTACTAAGAAAAATGGAGAAATACCAAATTATTTGATAAAAATTAAATAATAAATTTTATAGAATTCAATATAAAAACAAGAAGCAGAATAAAATAATAAATTGTATAATATAAAAAATTATGTTTTATTTTATTAAAAAATAATTTTAGTTATTAATTATCAGATGAAGAAATTTAATAATTAAAAATAGGATTATAAATAAATTATGATAAAATAAATTATCAATATTAATAAATTACTCATATTAGAAATTATGATAATTAATATTTAAAAAGAAAGTAATTTTTATGTTTTTTTTATATTTAAAATTTTATTTGATAGGAAGGAGACTTGTGAATAATAATTAAAATAAATAGAGCAAGATTTAGCAAAATTATAAAATAATAAAATTATGGTCGATTGTGCTAAATGAGAAAAATATTATAATAATATTTATATTTACTTTAAAAAATAAAAAAAAATATAAAATAAAACTGATAAATAAATTATTTTTAAATTTAAAAAATAAATATTTATAAAAAAAAAAAATGTCATTTTTATAAAGGGCAGAATTAAAATAGAAGAAAAATTAAAGTATTTCTAATTCCTAGTTAAAAACTAATTTATCTCCAAACGTTAAATCTTAATTTAAATTTAATTCTGTATGGGCATAATCTCCTTAAAAGAAATCTTATATTACTTAAAATTCGCAAACATAATCAAACTCTTTTATTTATCCAACATTTTCAACTGAACAATTTAGAAATAGTATTAACTTAGTCACACATTCACCATGTAAATATGTAAAAAGTAAGCCATATAATTCATATTTATCAACTTAAAAAACAAGTCAAAGTAGTCTTTATTAAAAAAATAATAATAATTTAGATGATATTTTATTTAATAGTAAAATTGTACAAGGATAATTAAAAATAAGATAATTAGAAGATTAAATAAATAATATGAGTATTCAAGAATTTAATTAATTATCTTAGTATTAAATTGAATAACTTATTAAATTATCATAACTTATTATGAATAAAGTTAAAAACTCAAGTTATTATAGAAAGTAATGTATGTTTTGAATAATATTTTAGGAAAATATAATATTATTTGTTAAAATAGTAAAAAAAAAAACATAATATAAAATTTTGAAAATACTTATTAATTTATAGATTTTTTATTTTTTAATTAAAATTTTTTTTTTTTTGTTATAAATAAATATATATAATCAAAATATAAATAAATAATAAAATTAATTTTTCAAAGTTAATAAAAAGTTATTCCATATTATGTGGAAGCTATAATTCTATATGAACTATTTGTATTATTAGACTTAACATTATATAAGCTTATTATTCCTCCATCTAACATATTTGTATAGGTATCTCTATTATCTTTATCTTCAACATTAATTTTTTCAATACATCCGTCTAAAATTTATAATATTTATTTAAATAAATTTTTAAGATATTAATATTTTTACTTTATTATCCTATTAATATTTAGAAAGACAACTTTTATTCAATTAAAGTAATAGATAAAGGTAATTCATTTAGATTAATTCTTTAAGTAATTTATCTTTTTTGATAATTTCTAATAAAAACATATTTAATTGTTTCATTAATTGCATAATAATTATTTTCGTTATGGCGAGAAACAACAATTTATGTAGGTTAAGCCTTTTTAAAAAAAATAAATAAAATAAAATAATATATTTTTATTTTATTTAGAATAAAATAAAATAAAAATAAAATAAATATTTTATTTTATATATATATATATTAAATAAAAAAATTATTTTTGTTTTTTACTTTTTCATATAAACATTATTAGTTAGGCGAAAAGTTTTATTTAATATATAATTCTGTAGCATTTTCTAAGAAATCACATTCATCAATAATCGTAAATCCATAAGGTATAGTTCTATCAGAAACATAATCGACTTAGTAGACCATAACCTTTCCTTTATTATTAGTTGCAAAGAATAAAGACTTTTCCTAATAAGAAATTAAATCTGCTATGTTTGGTAAATTAAAAACTTTCGAAAATTTAATAAGGGGTCTTCTTTCTTTAATTAATTAGTCCATAGTGTATATTACTCCACTTTTCATAACAATAAATTTACCTGTTCTTCCCCCTAGAATAGTTTCAAAACTTTTAATTGGATAATCGCTCGATTTTTTATTTGAAGGACGTACTTCCTCTTATAAAAAAGTTTCGGATTAATAGAATTTTGATGTATTAATAGTTTTTATATCATTATTATTTTAGAAAAAACAAAATAGTTTATTAGTTTTATTTTCGAAAAGTATAGAGGTTACAGGACTTTAAAATTTGTACTCCATAACTTCTTCGGCTGTAAACATATTCCAAAATTTCATTTTTCCATCTTCATGTGTTGTAACCATAAGCCTTTCATTAAGAATATGAGTTTAGTATTTATATTTATTATCTATATATATATGTATATTATTTTTTTTTTTTTTATATTTTAAAATTTTTAAATAAAATATAAAAATAACCTATTGTTCCTGCTATTTATGTTCTATATTTATTGTCTAAATTAATATAAGAGATTCCTCCACTATATAAGCCGATAAATCCTTCCTTAAATGTAGGATCTAAATTAATAGAAATTGCTACTCCTGAAATTTTTAAACGGGCCCAACTTATTAAAAAGTCTTTATTATTGAAAGGCAAATCATATCCTACTATTTTTTCGAAATCCCAATAATGAATATATTCATCCATTGCAGTTACTATTAATCTATGCATAGAATTCGATACTTTAATGTCTATAATTTATGAGCTGTTTAATGAAACTTAACATCTATATAAAATTTTGTAATTTCCATATTCTACTATTACTATTTCACCTGTAGAAAGCCCGGCTACTACATATCTTTTTTTTATAAAAAATAATATATTTATTTATATATATTTTTTTGATAATTTTTTTTTATTAATTTATGTATAAAAAATTACTCTTTTTCATCATCTATTAAGATATAATCTAAAGCAGTGACTTCAGGCGCTTCTTTAATTAATTACTAATTTTCCTCTTATTTATATTTTGAGTTTTTACTTTATGTAACGGTTTATTTTGGTACAAAAACATCAAAGTAACTTAACTTAAATTATTTATCAAGTTCCCAGAACTAAATAGTATCCCTTCCTACAGTGCAAAACTCCAAAAATGTTTCCTATTAACGTTATACTTGAGATATTTTAACATCATTAATTCTATCTAGAGTATAGGCATTAGCAAGTAGCTTTCCTTACTAAAATTCCCACACAGCTACTGTACATTCTTTAAAGTTTCCTACAGTCACCAAGTATTTTCCGTTTTAACTGAAAGTCATATTTTGTACTCCTCGAGTATGGAAAATCAATGTTTTTGTGATAGTATATGTTTTGCATTCCAATACGTATATATTAGATTGGTCTTTTTAATTATATGAAGCTGAACCAGCAAGTAGATATTTGAAATCTCTAGAAAGTGCAAGACAGGATATTTAATCAGGTAAAGTAATTATTTTTTAATTTCTGTTTTTGGTTAAGTTTTCTATTATAATGAAATTTTGAGTGGTATAAGCAAACCAACCGCACATATAATTCCAAACTACGTTTTCATGTGAATCGTTATTATAACTTATCATAAATTCAGTTAAAAATTCTTCTTTATTACTTTTTTGTTATAAAGAAAATTAAGTATTTAATATTTTTATAGTTTATTTATTTTACTCTCTGATTTTAAGGATTTTTTCTTGAACTTATTCAGATCGGGAATTAGGTAAATAATAGTGCTTAAATGGTAAAGAATTATTTTTTCTTATTAGATTAGTTTCATAGTTAAATTATAATTGCTTCTTTTCTCTTTTCTTTTTTTATTTTTTAAACTCTATTTCTTATGATTAAACAGGCTGTATTCTAATTAATAAAAATATATATAAATTATTTTAAAAAGTTATTTTTTTTATTTCTTTAAAAGTAATTAATGAAAAAAATAACAGTTAAAAACTTATTATTTTAAAATAGTTTTAGAAAAATATATTGAAAATATAAAAAAAAAATGCTAAAATAATATATTAATATATATTTTTATACCTCTTTGTTTGAAATTTGCCTATATTCTAAACTTCAGATATTTCTGAATTATTATTTGTTTTTTTAGGAATAATTTATTTTTATTATTACATTAATTAAACAAGTGGTCCAATTTAATCTAAAATATATATTACTAATAATAAACATATAATAATTATACCTTCATATTCATCTTAATCATTTGAGCAATAATCCTATTTTTATTTTTTATTTTAGATACTTTATTCAGAATTAGAAACTTCGAACAAAACTTGTTATTATTATTATTATTAACTATTAAAATAATTCATTCCTTACCCTTATAATAAACCTTAAAATTATTTATTCTAAAGTCTATCGCCTAAATCATCATCATCATTATCTAAAAAATCTAAAGGCTATTAACTAATAGTTTTTGGAATTTTCTAAATAACATTATTTCCTTATTATTATATTGCGTTTTAACCTACAGGCTAGAATTGACCAAAATCAATAACTTTTTCATATTTAGAAGTATCCCCTAAAAATTCCCATTCATAAATTCCCTCAAATCCTCCTGCAGTGATAATTTTGGTATCATTTTAGACAAAAAGTACTTAATTAATAATATTAGTATGACTTAAAAATATCTAATTACTTCCAGGGCCTTATAAAGAGAAGTCATAATCCCAAATTTTTAGTAAATTATCTCCTCCTACAGTTAAAACGTATTTAAAATTTTTACTCAAAGCGATACTGTTTGAAGAATTTCTATGAATACAATTTACTTCTCTTAAGAAGTAAGCTTAAAGACTATTTGGACCGTCACTATTTCTTTAAATTCCGAAAACTTTAATTTAACCTTCTTCAGTAAGAACAAATAATTCGCAATTATTGTTTGACCAAAAAAGCTTTTTTAAATTAGCATTCTGGCAATAAATTTTCAATAAAGTTCCCAAAGTATAACTGTCAATAATATTTATATGAGTTCCACTATCCCCTATTAAAGCCAAATACTCACTATCTGGTGAAAAAGCGCTAAATTAATATGCACTTTAACTCTCTTGTTCTAGAGTTTTCACTAATTAATATTGTCTTTAGACATCGTATATTGAATATAGACAACTTTAATCCCCCACAACCAAATATTTAGAATCTGGTGAATACTAAATATGCTATATAGGAAATTATGTTAATTTATCTCTTCTATAATGCAAGTATTTTCAATATCAAAATTCTAAAAACTCCTGTACTAAACCCTGCTGCGAAAGTCATGTTTTATCCATTACATGAAATACATAAACATTTATCATCTTAAGGATAGGAAAACTCGTATACTTATTCGTATTTTTTCATATCCCAAAGCCTGATAGACATATCTGCTGAAAGAGTTACCAAATAGCCACGATAAGAATGAATTTACATATCTATAATTTGACTAGTATGAGATCTGAGGAATGTCTTGTAGTTATTATTAGATAAATCTTATACACCTAATCCTCCATTAGAAGTACCACAGGCAACCTTTAAAGCACCTAAGGAAATATCCAAAGACAATAAAATACCTTCATGTTTTGCTTCAATGGAAAATTCAGAGAAATCTAACGGCCAAACTCTCAGATAGAAATCTTCACTGCCCGTAATACAGAAACCTGAACTTAAACAAATCGAAGTAATGCCCTCTTCATGGCATTTGTAGACTGTTTCCAGTTCTTTAGTTTAGTAATTTACTTAGGAAAGCATTCCTTATTTTGAACCGATAAATACTCGTTTTATTTAAGAAAACTAATTCACTGCGGAAGGATCGTCATATGAAAATTCGAAATCTAAAACTAAAAAAATATTATTTCGGGCATGATGGTTTAATATTACAGGTTTACCGGGTAAGTGTTAATTTTTTATTCTCCAAAAACGGATATTTTCCTTTCCACAAGAAACAAGTTTGTCAATTTCCGTTGGAGAATATTTTAATGATATAATGTTAAATTCACTTATTTATTTGGCAAATAGTTCCGGTTTTTCTTGTTTTAGATATCTACGATATTCCAAATGATTATTAAATCTCTATTTAATTCATCTGTACCCACTGTGGCTAATAGCTTTGAGTCATAAGATAATGAAACACATTTTAAATTAGTATAAGGACACTAAAAACCTGTTATACAATCACCGCTTAGGTAATCCCAGATTCTTACGACGGCTTTTTTTCCCTATTAAGCTGAAACGAGCATTTTCCCGTCTTTTGAAACGTCTAATGAGCATATAGGGGATGTATGTCCTTGGAAAAAGCGCTGTTTTGGAGTTTTTGTATCTGAAGATATTAATAAAGAACCAGATGTATATATTATTTCATCGGGTAGGTCTTATGATTTTGACCATTTAATATCTTTACAAGAATTAGCGGAAAATCCGATAGTGTGGGAAAGGTTACATATGGGATATGGACGGAGTTGATTTTCTGAGTTTTCTTCTTTTTGGAAAATTGCATTTTTTTTGACGAGATTTTCGACGAGGTAGTTCTTTTAGGGAATAGTATTTTGAGCCGAATCTAATTTTGACACTATTTGTTCTAATTCTTCAGCCTTATTTTTAATGGGAGATTTTTGAGAATATGGTGATTTTTAAAGATTTTCTTTATTGGAATTCTTGTTTTCTTTTTGTTGTATTTTTTCTTCTTCTTGTTGATTTTAAAATTCGGGATCGATTTCAGTTGGATAATACACGATTTAGTATTATCCACTCCATTAGCGGTTTTTGATTGGTTTGAAATCTAATTCTTTGGGAAGGTTAGATATAGAATAGCATATATCGGCTGTAAATAGTCCTCTGAAAGATAATGTAGAACATATTTGTACTTATTTTAGGATATGGATGAATTCTTATTGGTTTAGTTTTTATAATTCTAAACTTTAGAGATGGTATTAGATATCGAGTACCATTATTGTCCATTTTAAAGGGGCATTTTAGGGATAAGGTATTTATAAAACATTGTTTTCGATTACTTTGTATTTATCGAACATATTAGATATTGTTAATCGATATGTATTTAGCATTCCTTTTATGTTAAAATCTAAATGGATTATAAAATACTTACCTTCAAAAGGTAAAAATTCTAAATATACCTAATTTATTTTTTGCATATAGAAAATATATATGGTAATTTTACATAACGACCTAATAATCCTAAAGATTAAATACCTTATTATGGATCTGGAATTTATATATAATTAGAATTTTATGTAGTTCCGTTTATTATAAGGATTCTTCGACCTATGTCATTATTCTTTTTTTTTTTATTTTTAGTTTAAGTTTTTTTTTTTTACATGAGCTTCTGATACGTTTCCTTTTTTAGCTTTTTTAGAAGAATTGAATACTTAATATACTTTAAAAACATCCACAAAAGGGCGTTACCATGAAACTGTTTGCTTTTTGTTATTATCCATTTTATTTTATAGTATTTTTATATATATTTTATGTATTTATTATTTTTTTAAAAATAATAAATAATATCAATTTTGAATTTTTTAAAAAAAATAAATTAGTTTTATTTTATTTTTTATTTTTTTTTTTAAAAATATATATTTAAATTAAATAAAAATTTATATATAAGAAATTAAATATAAAAAATAATTTTTTTATTATTTTTTTTATTTTTATTTTTATTTTTATTTTATTTTGTTAGCATTTAATTTACTAAATCTACTCTATATAAAAATAATAGATTTTTATATTTGTGATAATTTTAAATAATTATTAAAAAATTTCATATTATAAAAAAAATTGACAAAAAAAAATGATATAAAAATCTTCCGGTACTATGAATTTTAATAGACCCATAGCTTTGATGTGTTATATATGCGGTCGTGAGTAATAAAAACAAATAATTTTTATATTATTAAAATAAAAATAAATATAAATATATATTAAATTCTTTATAAATAAGATATGGCACAAAATCATTAGGTATTCACCTTAAAACTTGTAAATCCAAATGGGAAATCGAAGAGAGTAAAAAACCTCGAAATTAACGTCGTCCACTTCCTTTACCTCCCGCAGGTTTAGAATAACTTCTTTCTTTAGATGTTATAAGCGAAAAAGACATAAGAGAATTTAACACTGGTGCCTTTAATAAATATAATAATGAGGCTTTAGTAAAATGTCCTAATTGTAACAGAACGTAAACAAATAAAATTAAAAATAAAATAATAATAAAATAGTTTTAAACCAGAAGCCCTTGCTCATCATTAAAAAGCCTGTACACCTAGCAACCCTTTCAAGCCCTTACCTCCATAAAATGGTGGTGATGGATAAATGAGCGAATTTCCAGAAGAAAACGACGCCGCAAGTTTAAAACCTTGTGTTTATTGCGGCCGAAAATTCGCTAGTGATAGAATTGCTAAACACGAAAGTGTATGTAATAAAAGCGATGGCAGCCAAAAATTAAAAACTCCTGTAAAAGGTCTAAATGAAGTAAAATAATAAAGCACTGGAAGTACAATTAGAATGCCTCATTCAGACTAAAAATCAAATTCGAATTTCAATTCTGGAGGAGGTGGGGGAAATTCAGCTTCTTCTTATAATTCTCCAGTAAAATAAATTGTGAGACCCAAAACTTTGGTTTGCTATATTTGCGGAAGGGAATTCGGAACTGCCTCACTTTAAATACATATTAAAACTTGCGAATAAAAATGGGATATAGAATAATCAAAGCTTCCTAAAAAAGACAGAAGACCATGCCCAAAACCGCCTTAGAATATAAATCAATTAGGAGGTATGAATGCTAATGACATCTAAAATTATAATAATTAAGCTTTTGATGCTTATAATAATGATGCTTTGATTCCATGTAAATTTTGTAACAGAACTTTTACTCAAACAGCTTTAGAACATCATAAAAAAGTATGTACAGCCGAAAGACCTTTTAAACCGCTTAATAGGCCTTAGTAAGAGTAAAAACAATAATAATAATAATAACCATAGTAACAATAATAAAAATAACAATAATAATATTAGTAACAGTAATAGGAATATGGTGTACCTAAAGGAGCTTATGATTTATCGAAAGAAAGTGGCGAATAATATGAATAAGAATTAGAATTGGTTCCTTGTGGAAAATGTGGAAGAAACTTTGCCTCGGAAAGAATTTCTAAGCATGAAAAAGTATGTAAAGGACCAACTGAGAAAAAAGTAGTTATAGAACCTCCTAAAGTAGAAAAAAAAAAATAGCAAGGAGATCCTTTATGGAAAAAATAACATGAAGAATTTATAGAAAGTATGAAATATATGAAAAAAATGAAAAAAATTTAAGAATAAGGAGGTGATATTAGGCAATTACCGCCCCCAAAAGCTGCTAATACAGACCATTTGATCCCTTGTCCGTATTGTAATAGAAAATTCAATGATTAAGCAGCTGAAAAGCATATCCCTGCATGTAAAAATACTATTAATAAACCTAAAAGTGTAGCCTAGAGTGCACCTAATACTTTCAAAATGATGTAATAAAATTCAGGATAATAATAAATGTAATAAAAATAATAATATGGAGGATTGTAATAAAAGTAATAAGGAGGAGGATAATAATAATAATATGGGTAGTAAATATTTGGAGGAGGGCATTAATAATACGGAGGAACTTAATAATAGCTTGGATAATAATAAAAACTTGGAGGAACATCATAATAATAATTTAAATTGAAAAAATGAAATAATATAATTTAATATTATATAATTATATATTTGGCTATTTCTATTTTTGTTCTATATTTAAAAAAATATTTTTTTATTTATTTATTGATTTTATTTTTTAATCTAAAAAATAATATTCATTTAGTTTTTCTTTTTACATATTTTATATAGAGAATACAACTAAAAATACTTCCTATAATAAAGATACTAGAAACAAATAAGAAATGCTTATTTATATTAGCTTTTTAAATGGATTTTTTTTCTATTTAACTTTACTATTATTCCCTAATTATTTTATTTTTATTAAATCTCCTCATTTCAAAATAACTAATCGCTTATTCATCAATTTAATCAAATTTGAAACTATTAAAATGCAAAAAATGCTAATATATAGCTAATTTGGAAATATAAACCAAATTTAACTACACTTTAATATTAATTTAATCTATTTAAACATTAATTATATCTTCTGTAAAATATTTTGGGAAATCAAAATTAATATCTCCATTAAAGAACAAAATTATGTATATTTTTTATCCTTCAATATGTTTAAATTTTTAATTTTTTAATGTTTTTTTCATATTCTCTATCGCATTTTCTTATTACCTTTTCAATTTAGAATTTGTTATTTTCAAATTACATTATATGTAAACTAAATCTTTATTTTATAATTAGAAATCGTTTCCAAAAGTATTAATTAAAATTTAATTTTTGCTCAAAGTTGAACTTTTTTTTAAAATTTATCTCATATGATCATAAAATTGGCTTATATTATATACATTTTCGATATTTGGGGTGAATATGTGTTTTACTTGTAATGTTTCAGATGTATTTTATAAAAAAAATAAAGGAATACAATTATCCATTATTATATATTTTAAGTATTTTTCCAAAAAATTGCTTTCAATTTTATTAAAATAATTTACAATACTTTTTTCTGAAAAGCCTGTTAATGACATTTTATTTTTCCGAATTTTTAAAATTTAAAATTATATTTTGGGATATAAAAATGAAGTTTTTTTTATAAATTAAAAAAGTTTTTTTTATTTATAATTTTTTTTTAGTTTTTTTAAAAATTATATTTTTATTAAGTTTTTTTTTTAAAAATATAATATTTTTAATAAATAAAATATAAAATATGAAACAAAGCGTAATAAAAACATTATTTAATTCAAGAGTATTTTACATATGTTTACATTTGTATACATTTTTTTTAATTTACGCATTTGATAACACAATTAATGAGAAAATTAATTAATTTGATATATTTTATACCTTTATATATCCATTATTGATTTTAATTTCATTCATTTTATTTTGGAATTGTGGAAAAAATCCAGGATATGCACCAATATAGCCCAAAAACGATATAGAAGCATCCCAAAATAATACAGATAAAAGTTCAGAATTATTTAATGGAAATCATGTTAGTGAAATAGAACTTAATTTAATAAATTAATAAAATTAAGAAAAATAAGATTATAATAAATCATTTGAAAACTCAGATGCATAAAGTATAATATCTAACAAAATTTATTAGAGTTCAAAAATTAATTAAAACTATTAATTACTAAAATAAAATCTTCCATCATTATTTTTTTGTGAAAAATGCAATAGATATTAACCTTTTAGATCAAAACATTGTGATGAATGTGAAAGATGTATTTGCAAATATGATCATCATTGGTACTGTAATTATATATAAGTTTTTTTTTAATTAATTGTATTAAAATTTAAAATAAAAAACTAAATCAAAAAAAATCAAAATAATGAATTATACATTTAATTTTAAATAAATATAAAAATAATAAAAAAATTAAATATTATATAAAAGAGTAAATATAATAAAAAAAAAATATATATATAAATATATAAATAAATATATATATATATGTATATATATATAAATATATATAAATATAATATATACGTATTATTTTATATATTTAAATTATAAAATTTATTAATATTTATATTTTTATATTATTATTATCTTACTTCATTATATTTTTAATAATAATAATTATAATAATTAAAAATTAATAATAATATTAGTTTTTGGATTGGTGGCTGTGTAGGTGAATTGAATCATAGACTTTTTTGGCTCTTTTTATATTTTTAATTCATAGTTATTTATCTTACTCTTAATAATGTATGAAATGTATATTTTATTTTTTTAAATATAAATTTAAATTTATTACAATTTTTAGTTTTTAGATTCTATTAATTAGTATTTAATTGTTGATGAAAATGGAAATGAGATATATCTACTTGAATATCATCTTTTTGGTTTTTTATGTCTTATTTTATTTATTTTTCTTATTTTTGTTGTAAATATTTATTTATCTTTAATTTATTTATATTTACTTTTTTTTTAGGGTATTTTATTTTTATACCATACATTTCTTATTCTTACAAATTAAACAACATGGGAAAGTAATAAAAAACAATAAATTACGTATCTTAAAATATACCCAAGAGGGTTTTATCCGTTTAATGAAGGAATAATTAAAAATATTAAGACTATTTTTTTTCATAATGAATAATTAAAGTAAAAAAAATTATTTATATATTAAATAATTCAATATAATAGAAAATGGGTTATACCAACTTAATAAGAAGTTGCTTAAAGGTAATAAAATAATTGGTATAATATATTTGAAAATAAATATTATAGTTGTTGTTGAATTTATTCATATTGTTAAGTTTATATTGTTATATACTTATTTCTAAATATAAATAAAACTCAATATAAAATTTTTAAAATATTAGGATAATAAATAAAAAGGTTTTTTATATAAAAAATATAATGATATAATGATATTAAAAGCATCCACTCAATTGAAATACTAAATTTATATTAAATTATTATAATAAATAATTTTCAACTAAAATTAAAAACAAAATTAAAATTAAATAAAATAAAATAAAATAAAATATGCAAAATATAATTATTAAAGCTACATATATATATATAATAATTTTATCAAATTTAAACATATAAAAATTAATTAAAAATATGCTTTCAAATATCCAAAGATTCTAATTTTCCGTAATTCATACTCCTATATGTATAATCGGTGGTGGTACTGCTGCATTAAATTTCACTTCCTAACTACCTAAATATAAGGGTGTCCAAAGTAAAATGTTAAGAGTATTCGACAGCACTAAAATACACTATTATTAACCTGGTTGGACTATGGTTGGGGGAGGAATATTCAATGCTAGCAAAACCCAAAGATTGTAAGAAAGTTTATTTAATCCTGAAATAAATATGACTTATAGTAAAGTTAAAAAAGTACTTCCTGATTAAAACAAACTAATAACAGAAGATGAAGTTTAATACTCTTACGATCAATTAGTAATAACATCAGGATTAGAAACTCACTTTTAAGGAGTAAAAGGTATAAATAAATATATATTTTTAAAAAAAAATATTAATAAAAAAAGGTATGTAAGAAGCCTTAGATGATCCTAATTGCCCAGTAGGTTCTATTTATTGGAAAGATTATGCCGTGAAATTTTCAAAGTTAGTAGAAAATTTCTAAGGAGGTAATGTGATTTTCACAGAGCCTTAATAACCAATAAAATGCGGAGGTGCTCCCTAAAAAATAATGTACTTAACAGAACATAGATTTAGAAATAAAGGGATAAGAAAAAGATGCCATATCGAGTTTTAAAAATGTCCTGCTGTAGTATTTGGAGTACCTAAATATTCAGAAGCCTTAACAAAATTAATAGCTGAAAAAGATATTACACTAAAATTAAAGTCAAAACTTATAGAAATTAAACCAAAAGAAAGAATCGCTGTATTCGAAGATTAGGATACTAAATAATTAACAGAACGCTAATTTGATTTATTACATGTAGTACCGCCCTAAAAAGCACCTAACTATATCCAAGAAAGTGATTTAGGAGATGCTTCAGGCTTTTGTGATGTCGATAAGTATACTTTTATACATAAAAAGTATAAAAATGTATGGTCTATTGGAGACAGTTCTAATCTGCCCACGTCAAAAACTGCGGCTGCTGTTATGAGTTAAACTCCAGTCCTTGCCTAGAATATTTTACATATGTGGAGAGATAATTAAAGTGAGAGTAGTTTACCTAGAAAATATTAAGGATATACGAGTTGTCCTATTTTTACAGGAGATTATAAACTTATTTTGGCAGAATTCAAATATGATGCAGTTGTAGATGAAACATTTTATTCAAATTAGGATAAACCACATTATGCGTTTTATTTATTGAAAAAATACTTCTTCCCTTTTGCTTATTGGAATTTTGTACCAAGAGGGATTTGGTATGGAAGATAGGGAATATTACCTCATTTTAGTAATCATTTGACAGGAATATTTTGAATATAATATTAATAATTTAATAAATGCATTTTCATAAGCTTAGTAAATATAACATCTCTATAATTTTATTTTTAACATTAAATATTTATTATACTTTTAATTTAATATTTTTTTTTTATTTTGAAAATAATTATATTTGAAAAATAAAAAATTTTAAATATTTGTAAAAATAAAAAATAAGCCTTAAAAGATAATACGAAATTTATGATCTTTTATTTTCTTTTTATAAAATTATTTTATTTTATTTAATATGTTAATATTAAATTAAAATTTAATTTTAATTTTTATAAAAAAAATTATTCTGTTTGATAGAGTGTCTGATAAGTTAATTAAAAAAACTAAACAATTTTTTTAATAAATTAAAAAAAAGTTATTAATTCTAATAAAAATATGTTTTTATAAAATTATAATAGTACGAAATATTAAAAATTAAATAATATTTAAAAAGTGTAATTTAATTCTTTGTAGACAACTTTTTAACAAACAGAAGGAGATTTTTTAAAAACGAGTATTAAATTCTACAATCCTTATAATCCAATAAAATCTTATATAAACTATAAGATAAAAAAAAAAAATTTATGCACTACATAAAATTAAAAAAGTGAAAATAATATATTATCATCTACATTATTAAAAGATTAAAGTATTATTAATAAAGAAAGATTTGAAAAATCAAAAGAGTCAAATTCTAATTAAAAAAAGTTAAATAATCAAATTAAATGTTAAGATAATGCTTATTATGAAATTTTAAAAGAATTAAAATATTTGCGAAAAATACGATCTAAATCTTAAAAATACTTAAATTAAGTCAAAAAATAATCAATTTCTATCTAACGTGAGTTTAAATAAAAATCTCTAATTTTAAACTAGAATAAAGACGATGAATAATAATTGATTTAATATTTAATAGAAGAGCAATTATAATAAAATAAAGGTCCTAAAGAATTACATAAAATACTGAAATAAAATGTTAAATAAAATAAAATTTCATATATAATGGATAAAATAAAACAAGAAAAAAATTTGAAATAAATAAAAAAATAAGTTAATGTCTTAAAAGAAGAAAAAAAGGGTTTTAAGTTCATGTGAAAAATTTTTCTAATTAAGGTAAAGATTAGTAAAGCTTAGCAGTTCCTTTGGTTATTCCTATTCGTTATTATAAATTATTTGATTTTTAAAAAAATATTAATTATTTAAAGAATGATGTTACAGATTTTAAAATCGATTTTTTTTAGAAAATTGATATTACGAAAAACTCGTAATAAAATATCGATTATAATGATTGGAAAAAACTTAATTATGAAAAGTTATAAAATTAAAAGTAGGAAAAGATAAATATAAAAAATTAAATAGATAATAATTAAAATTTAAAAAGTTAGAAAAAAGTCATTACTGCACATTTTGAATATGAATTTGTCAATGAATTAGGATTTAAAATAAGAGTTTAGAAACCACCTCCTAAATAATATAATTTTAAATAAGTTGAAAGAATTAAAAATATCAATTAAGATGATTTATTTCTTGATATTATTAATAAAAGATAAGAAAAAATAAATCGTTATATTAATTAATAAAAAATTTTAAATAATACTTTAAAAGCAAATTTACATAAAAAATGATTTAATAAAAAAATATGTTTTTTTTAGAAAAATTAAATAAATATATTAATATTCAAAATTTCAATAATTAATAAATTTTAATCGTAAATATTTTGTATTTAATTTAGTTATAAAAAAAATTAAACAATTTTATTCTAATTATTTTGTTTTTCTTATCTTAATTCTACAGCTTTTATTATTTCATAAGCTTTTTATAATTATTCATAAATTTAAGGAGATTTCTGATTTTATAATTTAATTTCTTTAAATTTTTGTTGTATTTTCACAAAACATTATTATTTATTAGACTAAAAGTATATCTAATCATGTCTTTATGATATTAATTATATAATGAATTTTAACTTTATCTGATTATTATATTAGATTTTCTATATTATATTTTTTTTAAATATATAATAAATTAATATATAAAAACAATTTAAATTAAAATTTTCGTAAAATTTGGTCGTATTTTATATTATATTAACTTAATTAATCTTTATTGGGACTTTAGTCTTATAACTTTTAAAAGCTTACAATTTTTTAAATTTTTAAATATATTTGCTATTTTTTAATATTTTGATTTATTACCCTCAATTATCTAAAAAATTTCATATTTTATTTTTTATTTACTATAATTCAAAAATATTAGCTATGAAATATATAAAGACATAAAGTAATTCGACGTTCTTATTATTTTTGCATATTTCTTAAACAAATTACCTTTTAAATAGTTATATTTAAAATAAAATAATCAATTAATTTATTTTTATAATTTATTTTTTTAAATTTATGGATATTAAAAAAATAGTTTACCAATTATTAAAATTCTATTAGTATTTTTTTTTTTTTCATAATGGTTAATATTTTTATATTGTATTTAAATATAATTTCCTGTATAATTTTCTTTACATAAACAATTTCTAACTTATTTTTTATATTTAAATGGAATAATTCTCGTAAAATTTTTATATTTCTAATTCAAATTTAATATAATAACATACATGAAATCCTATATTATTAATTAATTAAAAACAAACATTTAAAATTTAAAATTTTATTTTTTAAAGGTGGTTATATACTAATAAAATTAAAATGGTAAGATTCTAAATCAAAACATTATTATTTTTTCCAAATTATTAAGAATATTTTTAAATTCTTTTAAAGAAGGAATTTCGTTTTCGGATTATTATTAATATTAGACTTATTTAATTTATTAACTTAAAAATTATTATTTATAGTTTTATAAAATAAGATGTCTTATATTATTATGAAAATATGTTTTCTTCTGAAATATATATTTTTTAATTAAAAAGAAGTCTATCTAGTTTATCATAAGTTAGTTTACCAATTGATATTAAAAAGTATAATTAAAATGAAAAAAATTAAATTTATAAATACTATTAAATAATTACTAAAAAATAAAATCCTTATTAAAAATATATTTCAATTAATTACTAAATATTTAATTATATTTATTAAAAAAAAATTAAAAATTTGCCTTATAAAAAAAAAAAAATATATATATTTTTTATATAAATTAAGATTATAAGTTTTTTTTATTTTTCATTTAATAAAATAAAAAATATAATTAAATTATTTTTATATTGTAAAAAAAGACAAATAAAATTAAAGTATTATATTTTTAAATTAATTTATTTTATAATAATAATTATATATTAAATAAATTAATAATATAAAAATTATAGAGAAATATAAAATTATTTTTTAAAAATATAATTAGTATTATTTAATTTCATATTTTGCATATAAAATTATTTTATAAATTATATATTTATAATAATTAATATAAAATTAAAATTTAAAAATTAAACTCATATTATTATTTATAGTTACTGTTTATGATTGATATTAAAACTCTAGACAAAATAAAAAAATCATGTTTCAAGCTAGGGTTAAATTTAAGTTTTATTTAAATCAAATATTATACTTATATTTTATTTTACATTTGAATAAATATATTAAATAGATATATAATAATTAATTTATATTATTTAAAAATATTTAATATATATAATAATATAATACAATTATGAATAATTAATATCTTATAAAATATAATATAAAATAAATACAAAATAATTATTTTTTATATAAATCTATACTCATTTTAAATTAATTTAAAATTTATTTTTTTGCGAAAATTCTTTGACATTTTCATCTATAAACTCTTCAAATATAGCATCACTTAATTCCATTAATATTTCTACTTTCTCATCTTCAATAAGGCTCCATTTAAAGTCATTTTCATATATCTAAATAAAAAAGTATGTTATAAAAAAATATATAAAAATAAAATACTTCAGTTAGTAACATTTTTGATAATCTTTCTTCTCGAGCTAATTCAAAATATTCATTTTCTTCTTAATCTTTATCATTAATAACACCACATAGATAAGAAATCCATTCGATAATTTTTTTTTTAGCTTTTTCTAAAATTTAATCTAAATTTTAAGAATTAGGTTTTACCATAATTAAATTTTTTTCACTTTTGTTCCATTAATATGGTTCTCCTCCAATTAAATAATAAGGTCTAAAAGAATTTAAGCTTTCATTAAATCCATCAAAAATAGCTTTATTATGTATGTGTTAGAATTCTTTTATTATTTTTTCTTTATTATTTTTGCCAATTCCCTAACAAAATAGTATTAAAAATGTAAAAATATTAAAATATTTACTATATATTATTATTCAAATTCAATAAACAATTCTTCAGACAACACAAAAGGAAGATTTTATAATTCTTTATTTTATTAAGTAAAAGTGTCATAACCATGAATTAATTTTAATCTTTTTTTAGGAGAAAATCCAAAACTAGTATTAATATTTAATAAAAACTCTTAAAGATATTTATCTTTTAAAAATTATATAATATATCAAATAATAAATAATATTCCTATTTACCTTAAGCATACTTATATAAATTAATTATATATTATTCCACGGTATAAAGATTTGTAGATATTCCATATTATTCTGATTTATCTTTAGTAGATTAATTATTAAGTTATTCATCTATTCTTGATTCTACATCAATATTCATTTACCATTTTTAATTTATTTCTTTTTTTTATATTTTCTTTTTTAATAAAAAAAAATATTATTTACCTTCTATTAGATTATTATAACCTGCTATTTGTAATTTGGATTAATTATCCGCATATTATTTTTATATAATATTTTGTTTTTTTTATTCAGTAAGATCACTTAAATTTTCTTCTATTAATAATATATTCTAATATTAAAATAATTAAAATTATAATTTATGTAATTATAAAACTTCTTTTGGATCAGAATAATTACTATTTAAATTTTCTTTATAATCTAAAATATTTTTATTTTATCTATTTTTTAAAAAAATAATTAAATTAAAATTTAATTTAATAATAATTAAATTATTGTTACTATTTTATAGGTGATGTTTTATGTATTTAATCGTCTTTATTTAGCATCTTTTCATTTGCGTATCTTTAAATATCTTTACTATATTATTTATTGTCATTATTTTAGCTTTCTTATATATTTACAATATCATCTTCTTCTCTTTAAACAATATTTTGGCTACTATTATTACATTATGAATATTATTTATTTTATTATAATTACAAATCTATTTATTAATAAGCATTTATATTCTCTAAATTAAACTATTCATATATTTTAATTTGATCAATTTAATTATTTTAATTATTAGCAATTAAACTCTTGAATAATATTGCGTCCTAATAATCTTTCTATGTTTTTTAAATAAAATCAATAGCTAATTTTATATTTTTATTGTATTAATGCTTCATTAATTTTAATTCATTTAATTCTTCGTTTTCCCATTTATTAATTTCTTCAATATTTTGATTATATTATCTTGGAGATATATTTTTATTTTATAACATTTTATTCAATAAATCATACTTTATAAAAATATATATAATACAAAAATTTATTTATTTTTAAATACTTGAATATTTTTCTTTTTATTTATTGCATGTCTTCTGAGATTTAAAATTTAATCAATTTATTAATTATTTTATAATTCCTTTAACTTTTTATCACTGAAAATTTTAAAAGAATCTCTATCCAATTATTTTTAATTTTCTAAGTTTTTGCTATTTTGATTATTATTTTCTATTTAATTTAATTATTCTTTAAATTATATTTTTATAAATAAAAATATGTAAAATTACCTTTAGCAATATTTTAATAAGTTAAATATTTTTTGTTATTTATGTCAGAAGTTAATAACATATATAATTAATTTAAATCTTAAATACTATTATTTAATTGACATAACTCGTAGTTTTATTCAATTGAAGGCTCACATTCTTCTTTTTAAGATAATTTTTTATCTTCGTTTTATTAAAGTATAATATTTATGCACTTTTTCTCGTTAATCAATTAATTTTTATTTTATTCAGTTTTCATTTAGATTTCATTTAAAAGCTCTTTTCTTTTTTAAGGATCAATTTAACTTATAGCATTATTTATTTCTTTTGAAATATTATTCCACTTTTAAATTTCTATCTATCTAAGTTAATTTAATACTTAATAAAAATCAGTTTTTTAATCACTAAAATTTATATTACTGTCTTATTTTTTTAATTTTCTCAATAAATAAATATTTATATAAAAAGTTAATACCTTTTTCATCTTGTTTATACTATTCAGATATTTCATCTATATTTTCAAATTTCAAATCTTATCGGTTAGTAATTTAAAGATATTTTTATTATTAATTTTATGTTATTTAAATTTGATTCTTACTTTATGAAATATTTGAAATATTAATAATTTTTTCTTATTCATTTTGATTATTATTACTTCGGTAATGCACTTCTATTAGATTGCTTATAAATAGAATTTTAATAATTTTCTAGTATAATATCCTTTCCAAACTTTTTAAATTTTAACAATTTATTAGTTAATGTGTTATTCTTGTTTTTATTTATTAATAGTTTATTATTCTTGAAGTTTATTCAAAATAATTTATTTCATTTTTTTATTAATCTGAATATTCTATATTTTATTTTATCCACATTTATTAATTTTTTTAAATTATTATATGTAGCAATTTTCATTATTTATTTATAATTTTTCTAAATCTAATTCTTTGGATTAATGGTTTTAGCTCTAATTCATTAATTTTTTATATTCCTCATATAAAACTGAAAAATCATCTAAGTTTATATTTTTCTAATTATGTCTTATATTAGTAGTTGCTATATTTTAAGTTTTGATTGCATTATAACTTTTAATTTTGCATTTTTTCTTAGTTTATTATTTAATTGATAATTATAAATTCGAAATATTATTTTAGATTTTTCTCTATTATTTTGTTTTCTCATGTAACCGAGTAATGCTTTATTTTTATAATTTATTTTATTTTTATTGAATAAATAGTCTAATTTAATCTAATTTTTCTTGACTTTTACTTTTTTACTTCTCTTATAGTTACTATTATTACTATTTTTAACTCTATTCCTTTAATTTCACTTTACTTTCTAAAATAAAATATATTTATATAAAATATTGTATTATATTTTTTAAAATTTACTTCTAATTGTTTAATTTATATACAAATCACTAAATATATCAACTCCGATTTTTTATCTCCTGCTTTTTTAATCCCTATAATTAAATGTATTAATTTGTAAAACTAAAAAAATTATTGCATTTTTACATTTTCTATATTGGACTAGAAGTTATTTTTGCTTTTTATTTTTTTGCCTTCGAATAGCTTTAATTCTATCCCCATACATAATTATGGCTTAAAGAGTTATTTTTATAAAGAGAATATATTGAATTTAATTATCTAATTTATTTATTTATAAAATTTAGTTTTAATTTTTTCTAGTCATTTAATAAAAATTTTTGAAATTATTTTTTATTATCATCAAATATATTTTTTTATTGACCAGATTTACTTATTTATTTATTTTAATTTAAATTATTGTCTGTTTGCTTTTTATTTATTAATAAGGAATATTTTTATGATTTTTCTTTAAATTCGGTTATTAACAAATAATGTTTAGATTGCTGTTTTCATGTTTTATAGTATTATTATTTACTTATTTATTGTTTTGTTTAACTGCTTATTATTTTAATTTATAATATGAGATTCATTATCATTATATGTTTAATTATTTTCCTTATTTATCATTTTTTAATGATTAATTTGCTATATATTCAATATTTTATAAAGTTTTTTTTGTTGACATAATAAACCTTTTTTCTCATTTACTTATTAAGTCTATAATTAGCATTATTCAGATAATTTTAACGGAGAATTTAAAGAATAAAACTACTAATATTTTTTTTTTTTTTATGAACTTATTTAATCTTCATGCGATGTACTCATAGTTTGATAATATTTTTTTAGCAATTATCTCTTTTCTATTACTAAGGGATATTTTTTAATATTATTAGAACTGCGAAAATCAAACACTTATTAGTTTAAAGATAAGTTTATTTTTTTGCCTGAAAACATTTTTTTTTTTTAATATAAATATTTTTTTCAAATGACTTTTATGTTTAATTTTTTAAAAATTAAATAAAAAAAAAATTGTTATTTAATTTTCATTATTATTTGATAATTTTTTTTATATAAAACTTAAAAATAATTATGTTATAAATATAGTATAAAAAAATCAATTTTAACAATAAATTTTATAAAAAATAATTAAATAAAAGAATAAAAAATTTAAATTTTATATTTTATATTTTAGTATGTTTTTTATTTTTTATAAAACGTAAATTTAATTTTTCAAATGTAATAAGACTTATTTGTAAATATTAAATTATTTTTATACAAATTTTTTTATCCTAAATCTTAAATTATGTTGTTTAAACTTTCATTTTATTACTACAAAAAATAAATTATTTTAAAAATAAATAAATTAGTTACCTAATCTTAGTTACTTTAATATGTTTTTGCCTTTAAATATATATTATAGAAATCGTTATTTTTTTTAGGTGGGAATAAACAATTTTAGCTATTAGTTATTTAATTTTTAAAAACTGTATTTTAAGTAAAATATTGCTTTAATTATTATATGAGGAAGTTATTTATTTATTACTTTAATAATTATTGCTATTATAAAATTATTTTTAATGAGATTTATTATTATTTTTTTCTAATTTTTAATTTTTTATTTATATTCAGTTTATGTTTCTTAATCTATCTTTACAATATCATTTTTCTTTTTTTCTTTTTATATTTCATTTATTAAATCAGTTTATTAGTTTTTTTCTTTATTCATAAATAAAATGACATCTCTATAACTATCATTTTTTTAGCATTCTAATTCATTTTTTTATAGTAATTAGTTTATTTCTTATTCATATTTTTAAGTAATTTTTTAAATTTCTTTCTATTAGTTTTCATTTTTTAATGATAATTCATTTGCTTCCTTTTTTTTTAATTTATTTTATGAAATATTTAAAAAAAAAATACTTCTATTCTATTATTAAGGTTTGTGTTTAATTAAACATTTAATTATAAAAGCCCTTTTAAATTGTTTTCAAGTTAATTATTTTTTTACTGTAATTTAGGTATTTCATCACTTAATTTCATTTAATTTAAATTAAATTCAGCAGTAATAAGTTATTTTTTTAAATTTTAAATTTAAATTTTTTATTCACCAATTAATTATTTTAGCTAAATGTTTTCATTGTTCACTTATTTTATATAACTATCTGTTACTTTTGAGTAAAATTTATTGTTTGTTTATTACCTTTATGATTAATATTGAATTTTCGTTTATTCTTATAACTTATTTATTAATTATGCTTATTCTTCTATTTATTTTATTAAAGAACTGTTTGTAAAATTATTTAGTATCATATCCTTTAGAAGATTTTTAAATTTAAATATTTTTTTTATATTAATACATTAACTTTTTTCTATAACTCTTAATTTTGAATATTTTTTAATTTAATTGTTGGATTAAATCGTTTATCTATTGTTAACAATTTTCTTAATTAAAATGGTTTAATCTTTTTAATTGTTCATCTTCGCTTATATTAAAATTATTATTATTTACAACTATATTATGATAAAAATATAATTGAAAAATACAAAAAAATTATATTTATATTTATTTTTATTTTTTAAAAATTACATTTATTTTCATCATTAAAATTTTAAATTTGTTTGGATTCAGGTTATATATTTAATTCTTATTTTTTTTCCATGTTTTGTTAGTATTATTTGATAATTAAATAATATTCTTGTAAAAATATTTTAATAAAACTTAATATAATAAAATAAAAATATTTTTATATTTATTGTTTATATTTTTGATTTTAATAAATCTTAAATTATGAATTAAGTTTTTTTAATAAAATATTAATTTAAATCAAGTTCTTATTATAAAATATAAATAAAAAAAATTAAGATTATTTAAAAATGCTTAAAATTAAGAACAAATTCTGAGAATAAAATGTTTTTTTATATATTTATATTTTAAAAAATTTGTGTCCTTTAAATATACTAAAATCTATTTTATATATATTACTTTTTAACATTTTTTTTTTTCTGTATTTTTTTTTAAAAAGCCCAATCTACAAAAAAATATCCTAGAAAATGATTTTTTTTATTTGAGTTTTTTAAAATAATTTTTACACAATATAAAAAATAAACAGGCTAAAAAGCAATAAGTATATTCCAATTATTTTAATTTATCTAAAATTATTATTATTATTCTTTTGATTTTTTTTCATTAAATACTATGCTTTCATCAGAATCTGGTAATATTTAACTTGAAACGTATTTTAAATATGCATTTGTAATTAAAAGATTTTATTTTGAATCATGGTAAATTATAATTATAGCTAAAATATTTATAACACAAGATTATAAAAATAAAAAATATATGCATATTCATATTATTCATTTGTTTAATCTTAAATAATTCCTATAAATAAAAGATTCAATAAAAAACTTATTATATTATAATTTAAGTAAAATTAAAAATGAAATAATTAAAAAACCTGTTTACAGCACCCGTAGTTCCCAGATTTTTTAATTTTACAACTAAATTAATCAAAGGCCATAAAACACATTATAAAACTCCATATCCTAATCCAAAAGTACTTAAGCAAATAAAAACATAAGAATAAAAGCCATAATGGATTTATTTACATATATTAAAATAAAATAAAAATATATTAAAATAAATACATTCTAGTATAGTAAAAGCACCTTTATTTCCATACTTATCGCCTAAAAGACTAAAAACTAACTGGAATAAAAATGTTTCCTATAATAAAAGGATATTATGAATATAAATTACTTGCATAATTTCTTTCTATATTAAATTTATTTATTAAAATTTCTATTTTTTTATTTTTTTAAAAAAGCAAGATAATCTCGAAAAAAGAGGTTAATTTTTTTTTTATATCTTTAAATTGTATATTTTCATATTCAAATGGCTATTATTCATTTTCTTAATAATCTTTTATTTAATTAATTTAATATAATTACAGCAATAAAAGAAAAAAATTATACATATACTCCTATTAAAAGAAACTTCCCAAATTAATTAATTTTTATCATATACATAAAAATAAACAAAATTAGAAGTAAGCAAAGCAAAAATGGCCTAGAGCTGTTATAAATCCCATGCCAAATAATAATTAATTTTTTAGCAACCATTTAATTTAAATTTTATTTAAATGAGATAAATGGAATTTCGTTAAAACTTCTTATAATTTTTATTATTACAATTTTTAAATTATGTTTAATAATTTTATAAAATACGTTTTTATTTTTATTTTTAATCTAAAATTGAAAATTATTAAGATAGACTTTTATAATTTTTTGATTTAAAAATAAAATATTTTATTTGATTTTATATTTTCAACTTATTTTTTTTTAATAAAATCAAATAATATCAATATTAATAAAAGTTTATGCTTGAAATTTAATTTTAATATAATAATTTTATAAAATTAGTTTTAAAAACTTAATTAATATTTTCAAAAATTTTACTTGGTTATTATAGATTTCTATTTAAAAATATTTTTTTCAGACATAACATATATAAATATAATTCATTCATAAAAAGATTTATATTAAAAATCAACTCCTAAACCCATTGCCTAAGGCCCTACTAACCTTAAGGCATCTTTAGTTTTAAATTTATCATCCGTTCTTATTGCAAAAGCAATAACTTTCTATCCATAACAAACATCTTCACTATGTATAACCTACCCTTTAAAATCATCTACTATAGTAATAATATCCGGGGTCATAACACATGGTATTTATTCTTACTCATATTAACCACTACTATCATTATAAAAAATATTGTATGCCAACAAATATTCATTTTTGTAAACAATTTTAAGTCTTTTTTAATGTATTTAATTATTTTCTGTATCATATTGCATTTATTTAATGATTAATTCGCCGAAATCATATCCATTTTAAACATTTCTTTTTGCATTAATAATTTTTCCTGAAATTAATACTTTTATTTTTTCATCTATTTCCTTAAAATCTTACTAAATAGTCTAAAGTACACTTTTTTACTTCATATTAATATTTTCATGTAGTACTTTTCCTATCTAAAAACATAACTAATATCCTTTAAAAAAATAATTTTCTTTAATGAATTGTTTATTTGAAGGATAAGAAGCCAAATTTCCAGCTAGGCCGAAATCCTCAAGTACCCATTTTCTCATTATTTATTCTAATTTTTCATATTCTTTTTCCCCTTTTTCATATAAATTATCAATCAAAAATCTATTCTATTTCGAGTCTCCCAAGCATATAGGCAAAGCACTAACTCCATTTATAGAAGGCAAAGTCATTTTATATTCAGGAAAAGCTCTACACATTATATTGCAATCAAATAAGGGAATTCCTGTTGCCAAACTCAAAACTAAGCATGAAACTCCATTACAACCGCCTAATTCACTACAGGCAATACCATTTATTTTTTCACCCGTGTATTTATTCAGACACTAGTATACTCCATATAGCTCTTGTATACTATTGCAATATTCTAAAGAAACTGAAGGAGCCCCGAAATGGCCTACAGTGCAAACCATATCAGTATCATTCATTGAAAGAGGGTCATATATATTAAAAGGAATATTATTTTACTAGTTAAATAAAAGTTTGCATTATAATAAAGATTTTTCAATTGAGCCACCTCCTCCAGAACCTAAAACTGCACATCCCCAGGCTAAGTATTCAAAATCTTATTCATTGGAAAGGGTTAGTACTGAATTTAAATATCCATGTGCTTGATTTTAATAAGGAGGTAAAGTAGGAGTTTTGAAAAGAATGTTTATTTTTTGAATACTAATTGGATTTTGGGTAATATTTTCTGGTGGTATCTTTTAAATAGAATTAAGAACAGGTTATTTAGGAGTATTTTTAAAAATCCAATCGAATCTTCCTTTGGCTTTTATATAGACACTTTTTGTATTAATTTAATTTGTATAAGCTTTTTTTGAAACAATAATTTCTACAATTTCTGGGTTTTAAGAAGAACCTTTTTCCTGTATCTTTTTGATTAATTATTATTATAATTATTCTACTAATTCGAATTCTGTAGGTCCATCTGGTAATATATATATATCTTTTTCTATAACTTCTGTAATATCAGCCAGGCTGGCTCCGTATGCGTTCGCGACGGCTTAAAAATTAGCATTTTTAGATGGAATATCAACTATATTTAAAATATTATTGCTTTCTTTTTGTAAAAATTACGTATCTACTAAACATGAACCTCCTCCTACGAGAATTAATTGAGTTTGTTTGTTTTAGTTAATTAATGTTTCGATTTCTGAAAAAAGTTTTTGTGTAATTATTCGTTTGTGTTCTTTTAAAATATACTCTATTTCATTTTCGAATCCTAGTTCTTTTAAATATTCAAAAAAGTTCTCTTTTTCTGCTCCAGCTATATGAAAGTTTTTATTTTAATATAAAGCAAAATCTGTATTGCATAAAATTTTGTTTTTTTTGGAAAAGCAAACTGCGTCATCAGTTAGTCTAAATGCGATTGACTCATTTTTTATTTTTAATTCAGGAACCCCATTGCTATTTCTTTCAATTTCTACTATAGATCCTCCTCCTAAAGCTAATGTATGGACTAAAGGAGCCCTAAAATTTAATTATATTCCATTTAATTATGTATATTTATTCGCTGTTAGGGGCATTCCATTATTCATGACAGAAATATCAGTTGAAGTTCCCCCTATATCTACAACAATAACATCTTTTTGGCATTAAAATAGCTCAGCACCGCCTTTAAGTGAATTTATTATTGAAGAAGAGAAAGTAAAAATGGGATTTTATAAAGCTTATTCTAAGTCCATTACTGAACCATCATTATGGGAAATAAAAAGTGGTATTTAATCTAAATTAATTTCTTTTAAGGCTTTTTAATATGAATTAAAAGTATTAAAAGCCATGTTTTTTAGGCTTTAATTTATTATTGTTGCATTTTCCCTTTCCAAAATTCCTTCTCGTTTAGAAATTTAAGAAGATAAACTAAAAGAAACATTTTAATAATTTTTTTCTTGGAAATATTTTAAGAGAATTTCTTATGTTTTCTTTTCTTAAAAATCATTTAAAATACTAAAAGTACTTATAATAGCTATATTTTTAATTTAAGAAAGTATTATTTTTTCTCCACATTATATTATTTAACTTTCATTAAATTCTGTATATTGTTTTTCGCCGTCAAAATAATAACCCCCATCTAGTAAATAAGAAGGTCCTTAAATTCTTTCAACTAACTCCTAGTTCTAAAATGTACAGAAAGGAGGAAAATCGTATGTTTATTATCCACAAAGCCTTATTACGGAAACTTTTTAGAGAATTTCTGTAGTAGTACTATTTTTTTTTATAAAATAGCATTTATGAAATGAGTTGTTCCTATTGTTATTGATATAATTTCTTCAGAAGTTATGTTTTGAGTATTTTCCAAAGTACTTTTGATTGATTTAACTATTCCTTAAGTGGTATCTAGTGTTGTAAATTACTTACTTTTTTAGATTATTTCATTTTTTTAAATATCTACAAGGACAGAGTCTGTATTTGTTCCTCCTACATCTACAGCTAAAACATATTTTTTTAATTTCATTTTTTATAAATAAATTATTTTAATTTACTTAATTATAATTATATATTTTATTTGTATTTTTTATTTAATTAAATAACTTTAAATAAAAAATATAAAAGAATATATAACGATTTAGTATTTTTAAGTATTTATATTATAAAATTTATTTATAAATATTTAAAATATTATAATTTTAAGCACATTTAAAAGAAATAAGTTATAAATATGAATTAATTTAAAAATAAAAATGCTTATAGTAATTATTTAAACAAGATATTTTTTTTTATTTTAACTTTTAACAAAAAATAAATAAAAAACATAATTCAAACATTTTAACTTGTAATTGTTGAAACGCAAAAAATAAATATTATAAAACTAATTATATTTTTATATTTAACAATTAATTTATAATTCATTTTATTTAAATGCATATTTATTTAGCAAGAATAAATTAAGAAACTTATGTTTTTCTGTATTATTTAATAAAAAAACAATTAAAGAAATATTTTATTTTAATTTATTATTAGGAAAAAACAATATAAAGTAATTTACTAAAATAATAATTTATATTATTATTATGAATAGATATATTTTAAATAGCTTATTTTACATTATAATTTTAAATATATTAATTTAATATATTTATTTTAAAATATAAAGGTTAATAGATTTTAATAATATATTATTATTAATATATTTAATTTATAAGATACAAATCGAATATATAAATATAAATATATAGATCGGGTTGTTTTTTTATTTTTTTTCTGTGTATTTTATTTTTAAAAAACTAAATCAAAAAAAAAATAATCGGTTTTATGGTTTTATATTAAGTCTTTTTTTATTTTGAATCTGTTTTTAAAAAAAATTACAGAAAAAATATATAATCAAAAAATATATATATATATATATATATATATTTATATATATTCATATATAAGTTATACATCATTTCAATTTTATAATTTAAAATTAAATTTATAATATATTAATTTTAAAAATATGAAAAATATATTTATAAGAACAAGTACATAATAAGAATTTTTATATGAAACTAATAAAAATACATTAAATACTTTAATTAATAAAATGAAATAATATAATTATTTAAAAAATAAATTATAATTATAAATTTTTAAAAAAATATATTTATTTAATATATATTTTTATAAATCTACATCTACATCTACATATAAATATTAAATTTTATTTTTATGTATTTATAAAATTTAATAAATTTTTAAATTTATATATTATATTAACTAACTTTAAAAATTTAACTAATAATACTTTTATTAAAATTTTTCTTTTACGTAGCTATTAAATTTTATTAGTCTATTTTTTATATTTTCATACATAGATTCTTAAAAACTATTTCTGATTTTTACACTTACTATACTCTAAAATTTTATAAAATATTAAATTATAATATTAATATTTTTAATATTATTTTTTTCTTATAATTATTT